AGAAAAAGTGTATGAAAATTTAAATACTTTTTATCAGAAAATATATATTATTATATATTTTCGTATGACACTTGTTATTTATGCGACTTACATGTATTATATTATAATAATTTTTCTAACTTATAACATATGACTACATTAAACATAAACATATTAATTGAAAAATAATTTTATTTTTTAGTTAATTTTAGTAAATAAATTTATTATTATTATAAAGATAAATAGGAAATAATATTAAAATACAGTTCATTATTTTAAAATGATCAAAGATAAATCAACATAATTATAGTTATTCGAACCTAATTATTTTTGGATTAAAATTAAATTAAAATCTATCTAAGCCAAATAATGAAGCATGAAATTTTGACACATAAAATCCCAAAACATGCAAATCTGCCACTTAAGCTCAATACATTCGGGAACTATATATAGGAGGATTTGTTTACGTTGTTTATGTTGTTTTATGTTATATAGTAGATTAAGACATTTGTATGTTTAGAAACCACATCATATATATTTATTTATAGCATATGGGAGTTATATTCCGTCCACGGGGATGGCCAGTGTCGGGGGTGTCATACGGGACTACTGTGGGCGTTGGATTTTTGGGTTTACGATGAATATTGGTTATTTCTCTACTGTGGGAGCTGAACTATGGGGATTGTTTCATGGACTGCACCTGGCGTGGGAGATTGGAGCCCGGAAGATTATAGCGGAGGTGGATAATCAGGTTATTATTACTATAGTTGGTCCAGAAGATTCTATTGGGCCGCATAGTAGTCTTGTTCGGGGTACTCAGGAACTATTGAGTAGAGCTGGGAGGTAGAGCTTCTCCATGGGCATCGTGAGACCAACTTCGCAGCGGACTTTATGGCCTCTTTGGCGGCTCAAGGAGCGGGTGACTTGCACCGGTTTGATCGTCTCTCTGATGGAGCGGGCCTATGGTTACTTCATGACGTCGCGGGGGTATCTCACCCTCGTCGGGTCGTGATTGAGCAGTCGTAGTATCGCTTCCTTTCCTGCACCAAAAAAAAAAAAAAAAAAATTAATGTGTGACAATAGTGTCTTGAAATATTCACTGGTATAAAGCAGAAAGAATCTAAGAAAAACCACTGAACTTGCAATGAAAACTACAGAAAGAGATTTTGTTGCCCCATCAACAACAAAACCAGAGACTATCAAATGATACTTATTCGGTTTTAGCCTCAAATATTATTACAATTTATTAATTAATAAACATGCTCGATGAAATGCTCGGAATAATATGAAACTTACTTCCATTTCAGGCCACACTCGCCTTTTGCTGTAGAAGTGTATACAAATAAAACGAAATGGGCATTGCATCTAAATATCCCTAGCCATATTATTTCAGATTTTCAAGCTTGTTTATAGAAACTCAAATATCTAGAGCACTAGTAGTATTTCGACTAGTGTTGTAATCGAACCGAACGAGCCGAGCTCAAACACTTTTCGTGTCCGTTTGCTTATTTTTTCGAGTCAAATTTTCTGTTCGAACTCGACTCGATTAACAAAAGAACGAGCTCTTGTCGAACACGTACGGGCTTTTATTCGCGAACGTTCAGTTCGTTAACAACCCTAATTTCAACCCAAAACAATATCACAATCAAGAAAATACCATAACATTATAACAACATCTATCAAACCAATCACGGATTTATTTTTCGCTCAAAATTTGGAAACACCAGCTCATCTTGATGACCAGAAACAATAAAACATTAAAAACGAGTTTACTCAGTCTTCAGAAGCGAAAAAAGCTTCTCGAGTGCTGGCTTCACCCGAAGATCCATCTGCAGTCAAGAGCTGGTTTTTTTGAGTTGCAAGACAAATCAATGAGTGTACTCCCGCAATCATTAACTGAAAATGTAGCTGCATTAGAAACTCAAAATCCCACATCAACAGCAACAATCACTCCCAATAACACAAGCAAAGTAAATCATAAACGAAGAGCAACTGAGGATCGACTCGAGCAGAACAAACAAATTAGCCAAAGATCGGATTTTTATGCCAAACGGCAACTCCAAACATAAAAATCACAAATAATGTAGCACAAACTCGTGCACCACCTTGTGAAAAGTGTCTTCCTACATCCAACACCCAAATCATTACCGAAGAGCAACTGGAGATCCACCAAGCAGAACACAAATTAGCAGAAGACCATACGGAAATCCTTGTGCAATGTCTTCTTAAATCATTACCAAACGGAAATCCTAACCGACGAGCAAGCAACTGAGGATCAACCTAGCAGAACACAAATTAGCCAAAGATCAGATTTTTATGCCAAACGAAAACTCAAAACATGAAAAATCACAAATAGTGAAGCACACACTCAGCGCACGAACTTCGTGAAAAGTGTCTTCCTACCTCCAACACCAAAATCATTACCCAAGGGGGATCAACCAAGCAGAGCATAAATTAGCCAAAATCATACTTTTAGGACCCAAAAAAAAAATCATAAATAATGAAGCACACAAGCGTGCAAAAACCTTGAGAAAAGTGTCTTCTTACATCAAACACCTAAATCATTACCGAACCGGAATCATAACCGACGAGCAAGCGAGGATCAACCTAGCAGGACATAACGAAGAAGCCAACAAGCGTGGGCGCATCTTGTGAAAAGTGAGGTTGGGACCACGTTGAACGGCGATTCGCTGACTCTGTTGACAGTAATTTCGGACGATTTTGCCCAAATTATGAACCACGACCACCTTGTACCCTCCGTGAAGCAGCTGAAGCAGCCACCGTCACCACCAGTGTATCTTCGACGACATCGTTTTAACCGAAAGGGATTTCTCGAGCCTTCCTGTAGGAAAAAAAAAAAAAAAAGAATAAGTGGGATGTGAATATGAGACAAAAAGTAATGGAGGTGCGGGGAATCGAACCCCGTGCCTCTCGCATGCGAAGCGAGCGCTCTACCATATGAGCTACACCCCCTTGTTTGATGGGGGATGGTATTTATATTACTACTATAATGATGTCTTTTTAAGTGAGGCTTGATTTTAGAAGCTACGGATGTGCAGCCCCCTCTCGCCTTTGTCTGCAGGGTGAAATGCCTTTGATTAACCATAATCAACTCTATATTATTATCTGAAAAATTAACTTGATATGTTTCATTATTGAATAAAAAGTATAATAATAAAGAATTAATATAGATATAATATATTGCGATGGATAGACAGAGAGTTTTGCTTCTAGAAAATTTAAATACTTTGGCCTGAAATATAGATAGCATCCATTAATTTCAAGTTTATTTTAAATATAAATACGTAACTAAACCTCTCCTTAGTTTTTAAAGTAATCCAAGCATAACCTAGTTATAAATTATAAAACATATGTAAGAGAGGTAAAGAGATATTTAATAAAAAAAATTATATCAATCATATTTCTCATCCATTTTGTTTATTATAGGACATCCATATTTATCTATCCAGCCAATTTTTGTTTAGTCATTAGGTCTTTATAGGTTCCGACATCCATGTTCATCTATCCAACCAGTTTTTGTTTAGTCATTAGGTTATACATGTAAGTACCAAACTTAGAATTCCTCAGTATGTGCCCATATATCTCCCGATAACTTTTTCTACCTAAAATTCATCTGAGTACCTTCACACGGGTCAAATCCTGTTGTGTAACCTGAGTTTCGTGTAAATTTCATTTGTTACTATAGAAGTTGGATAAAGTTATTGCCGGAGTTACAGATGTGAAGAAAAATTAGTTATAGGAGCTTATGCAATCTTTTTCGTTTGAAATTGGGTTGATTTCCTTAGTATTTTCCGATTTATATCAACACTGAGATTTGATGAGCTTATTATTTGGCCATTTTTCAAGAAGATTTGCGAGTTTTTGATCAAGTATTT